TATTTGAATTAAATATCATCTCATATTTATAAAAACTTAATTTTTCATTACTCATATAAAATTATAAAAACTTTATATATTCCTAAAATTCTTTGTTTTAACTAAAATAAAATAGATTTAAAAACAATATTTAAAATTTTATTTTTTTAAGAATTTTGTAATTGAGATTAAATTTTTAGTGATGTTTGAAAAATTAAATTTTTTTAAAATTCATTTTATTAGTATTCAACTTATAATTCCTTGAATAAAATAAAAGTAATTGTTAATATACTAATCATATTAACACCTTACTATAATTAGGTATTGGTCAAGTGAATTGAAATAAAATTTAATATACTACTCTAAAAAGTCTAAAAATTTCAAGGTATACTTAAAATTTCTGAAAAAAATTAAGGTTCTACAATATTAAAATTCTAAAAAATGAAAATTTTACTTAAAAATATACTACAATATCTATTTTCACATAAAATCTTAATTCAACTTAGTAATTTTATTGTGATTGAATAATTATATTGATGTAACATAAATTGATTTAAAAAAATTGTATATACTCTTATTTTTTATCTTAAAAATGAAAGGTTTAAACTTTTCAGTAAAAAAAAAAAAAATACACATATGCAAGTGTAATATTATCTTTGCATATGAGATAAATAATATTAAATTAATTAAATTTTTTAAGATTTTTTGAATACTTTATTGAAAGTTTAATGAGGCATATTTTTTTTATAGGAACTGATATTTATAAATAGAAAATAGATAGTTAAAAGAGATGTTAAAGATAATTTGGAGATTTAAATAAATATGCATATGATTATAATTTAGATGTTTACTTGTCAAAGCATAGAGTGGTCTTTGCAATTCTTTGTAACGATAACATAGAGATTCAAAAGTTTTTCAAGTTAAGATATTTTTATTAGTAGTATAGATATATGAAGATATTTATGGATTAAATCATAAAAATTTGAACTTGTGTGTACCTTAAAAAACCTACAAATTAAATGATTACCAATATACAATTCATAAAAGTACACTAATAAATATATATTGTAATTTTAACCCAACACAATTTAATAAAATTCATATTGTAATTTTGTAACTGTGATTTAACAATAATATTGAGTCTATATTATCCTTAATCCAAAAGATTACTCTAACTAATTTTTCTTTTTTGATAGATTCATAATATGAAACTAATTTTTTTTCGTTGGTCTAATATATTGGTAACTTATCGAACTTGTAAACCTTACAAATTCTAGAAATAGTGTAAACAAGTCTTAAGAGTTTTTGAGAGTAAATATCAAGTTATAACAATAACTTAAGAAAATTCTGACTTTTGAACTTTCCATCAATTACTTATATCTTATATATTTAGATAAATTTAACAATGAATTTAGAATTAAATTTTTTTAACTAGAAATAAGTTAGCTCTAGGGAATTACTCACATATAAGCTTGAGCTAATTTTTGTCACTTCTAATTCCCAAATTTCTAATCTTCAGATAAATGTTGCAGAAGAAATAAGCCTTTGTAGCTGAAACATATACGTCTTCTGCCTATAGGTTTGTATAAAACTTAAAGCTGCAACTCATTTTTTATCATGGTTGTATTTGCAACCAAATCTACATTTGAATGTATGTTATGATGATTTACTGGATTATCCTGTTATCTTGTATTTCATTATAAAATTTAAGAAAAAAAATTTATAAAATATAATATCTTTTGCGGTGATTTTATTAAACTTCTCTCTTACAATGTATGTTTGACCGTGATTCATGCAATCAATATTTATTGACTCTTATTACGTATGTTCTTAAGAGAATTGTGTCAAAACAGGTTTTGGAGAATGTATGCTACTTAGATTTGCACGCATACGGATCGAAAGTTATATATGTGGATATCTAGAAACTTATAGGGTGTTAAGCCATATAGTAACAATTTATCATATAATAAGCAGGAATCATAGGGACATTGACGCGAGCCTTTAATCAAGGTTGGAATCATAAGTTTAAGCTAAAGGACTCAAATAGTGGTGTAGCTATGAATTTTATTTCACAAGATCATTCAATAAGTTGTCGTTAAAGTTAATTTTTTAGTTATGTATAACTTATAGAAATTAATTTTCACAAGAATTAGAATATAATATCTATTTTTGATAAAAAAAAAAACTAATTTAGTGTTGATCAATTTATCAAACAATTATCAAATTATGGTTTATTATCATATAGTGAAAATTTCCAACACAAAAATATCAAATATTATAATAATTATAACTCAATTTTATGTCTAATTTTTTCAATCATTTTAATTCAATCAAAAAATATAATGTTGATCCAAAATAAAAAGTGAAAAAAATATACATTTACTCAATACGCCTTCGCCACTAGACTACAACCTTTTGCACTATTCTTAGTAACGAATAAATTACGCATACTTTAATTATTACTTAAATTCCCAATATATAAGATTTTTTTGAAAAAAAATTGAGGTGAGGCTATGTCCCCTTTTGGTCATGTAGTGGTTATATCCATGCCTCTAAGAATAGGCAAATACATCAAGAGAATGGATTGAATTCATTTATCGATAAGGTATAGTAGATTTGTCACACATAAACATATAGTCTCAATCAACCTTCCAGTATTCATGAGTCGATCAATCAATCTTTAAATAATTAATTTAGCATGTAATCTAACTTCTTGGAAGATTATGGTGGTTGGAACACATAGCAACATATAACATATCTAGACAACAAGTATCAAATGAGATATACTTTGATTCATAGGTGTACATTTATTTAATTGTTTCATCAACATAATAATAAAAATAACATCACCACCATAAATTAAAAATTTTCACGTGCAGTGCACATGTGTACCAATGTGTCAAGTGATAATTTTATATTAAAAATATTACTGATAAATAAAATTATGTATCCACCCAATAGGAGTATATATTAGTAAATCATTATTATAGTTTTAGTATAATAGAATCCTAAAAAAGGTAACACAAAAAACTAAGTCTTGCATTTAACAAGAATTGACCACTTGACCACTTAGCTGGCATAGTATTAAGTGATTGAAGGGTTGTCAATTAGACGAGACCATTTTATTTTGATCATTTATTGTTTTTAAACTTCGAAAGAGTGTGATAGACATGTGTGAGTATGTAACCAATGTATTTTATCATATTTTAAATTAAATTATAAAATAGGACTCATAAATTATAAAAACTATATTTGACGCAATTTTTCATAATATTTCAGCTCCAAACAAATTAACCTATATACCGAAATAATAAATATAAAATTAAAACTATTGTTCAAAATAATTTACGTGTAATATCCGTATACAATATTTAATTCTAAACAAAAGTCCACATCGATGAAGGCCCAAAGGCACCTTCCCCAAAATACATCTGTGACTGGCTAAGGTTGAACTAGAAAACCATCCAGTGTTAAAGGCTCGGGACAAGTCAACTAGGATCCTAGACCAATATATGCTGGCATTATTCTTGGTTCTTGCCCGAGCCAATTTTTTATTTTTTTTAATTCCTATTTCTTTCTATTTTCTATTTGAAAATTTCTTAACAAGCATATGGAAATAATGAAAATAATTAATATTTTAATAATGTTTTTTACTTTATAGAGTTTTTGATCATGCCATTTTTGACACAGAAATCCGCATCCTAACAACTAGTAAAAGTATGTGCATATTATTCTTTGACATCTCAATTATGACTTTTTTTATATTATCCCTTCAACTATCACATTTTTCTTATTGCACCCTCAATTGTGTGATTAGTTTTATATTGTCCTAATTATTAACGTCCATTATATATTTAAAGGAAAGTTTTTTTATTTTGCCCCCCAAAACTATACTATTTTTTTCAATTTTCCCTAGCATGTTGGCAATTTTTGTCCAAAAAAATAGCAAATGTTTTGCAATCGGGGCAATGCTACATAATCTGAGCAGTTGCAATTGGGGCAAAGTGAAATCAAGTCTATAGTTTTAGAGGTCAAAATATAATTTAGTCCAATTCCAAAATAGTGTGGGCCAATCTTTTGCCCAAAACGTAACCACCTGTCAAAAGAGTGTGGCCCATCTTGGGCCATACTTGGGTTGCATTGGGTGGGTTTGAACTAACAATGTTCAAACCTAAAGGAGATTTCTTTGCACATCCAACACCTCTTTCCTGACACAAATTCACTATAAATAAGAGTTATATGTACATCCAACAAATCTTTTGCCTTTCCTGATGCAAATACTCTTCTTGGATTTTAGCATGAAACATAAATAGGTCTAAACAGAATTAACAAGTTCACCTTTAGTCACAGTAGACTCCAGTAAAAAAAGGGAAAGCCTGTTAAATCAATAAGTTGACAAAAAATTTGACCAAACATGACACATAGATATATGAGCCCGACCCGACAAAAAAACTGACTATAGACAATTATAAATGAGTATGGTATCAGTTAAACAAATTTTGACATAAACTTAAATAGAGCATGAACTCAACATGACAAAAGTTATTGTCAATTTTATATATAGGATTGAAAAGAAAAAAGATACAATGCTCAGTTATTAATTACTTATTTTATGTCTCACAAAGTACTGCAGCATCCAAACAAGCAATGGTACTCAAAAATCGAATAGCAATTTGTCAATTATTTGGTGGGATTATAACTATGCTACCTTCAGACTTTGACTTGAAAAGTTTCTCAAATTGTGGAGTGACATTCAGAGAGGCTTGTAGAACTGAATGAGATAAAAAGAAAAAAGGAGACAAAGTTTTCAACACCGATGTTTTCCCATCTAATTGCCCAAATAAAGGTCTGCAAAAGAATTGAGAAAAAAAAAAGTAATAAACATATTTGCATAAAATAGTTGTACTTGAATTTGGAACCACGAAATGCTAATCCTTTTCTTAAACATTTTTTAAAACTTAGGGTTTTCTTAGACGTTAACTACTGAACTATTGTGCTACAATACATAATTAAAATGGGACTTACTTTGGAGATGTTTGGATAGAGAAAACTCTCATTCCTTCTCCTTCTGCAATTACTGAAACAGTGAAGAATTTGGGCACAACAAAAAGCTTCCCTGCCTGCACTTTGGTGTCTAAGACAATTAAACCCCACCAATTGAACCTTTCCACTGCCACTGCCGACCTAAACCATTTGAAACTAATGAATCTGCTGTGTACTTGGGAGCCAACATGGCATTAGCTTCCAATTTTGCTACCCTTGCACCGAGTCCGACCTGTCCGAGCACCGGAAAATTCTCTGATGTGATCAGAGAGAGCGATTCGCCATTTTTCACCGCAACATCTGGCACAACTTCATCAATATTGGCAACCAATCCCTCTTTGGTATTGTCCTTGCATGGCTAGGGTATGTTGATTCCTGTTTCATTTAGTAACTCTTTTTTAAAGAAACATTTTAAATGAAAATGTATTGTTCTTAAAAATAAATAAAAATAGGTTTAATTTACTATCTAAGAAAGTGAACTACATGTAACTTCGTATATAAATGAAGAAAGCAAACATTTTTTTGAAAAAAGTAACTGAAAAAACAGAAAGATTAAGAAAAATGTTATCGAACGATCTTGAATACATCTTTGTATACAATGAAAAAAAATAATTAAATTGAAAAATAAACACTATAAAAATAAGTAACTAAAATAGTTAGATAACCGTTAGCAAATGTTACCTTCTTCAAGTTTAACAATCAAAACACCGGTTTGGCTGTTCATGAGCAAGTGAGCTTCTTCTTCATTTATGTTATAAACTCTGCTGACAAATTCGGTTGATAAACCCAGCAGGATACCTAGGGTTCCTGCCACGAAGAAATAGGTAAACTGGCCAGGTGTATGAGCCTTGGTAGTGTCACCCAAGAAGACAATGACCACGTCTAAGTCTCCGCCGTTGAACCACCATGAGACACCTCCCAGTGGCACCGGAATTGCATCCCCCTTGTTTATTATGAAGACATTTTCTTTTGAACTGTTGGTTGCAATCATCCCAACTGTACAACTACCTGCGGAGAGAAGATAATGTCCTGTGAGGTGATGGACACAAGCCTCATATACTAATCTACAGCAGAATATATATTTTGGGTTGAATTCAAATTTAATTCTTCAATCATGTAACTCGGATTAGAATAAATGTTTAATTCAAGATGAACCGAATTCAATGGTCCCGAGAATCTGAGACCACAACTCAAATATTACTCCTCGAGACCACAACTCAAATATTACTCAAAATTAAACCGAGTTGGGATTTCTACACCATATCCAAAGTAGAGTACTTAAAATGTTTTGTTAAAGTACTGGAAATTTTTTTTTGGTATTACTTACCCGACAACCAGTGGATGAAAGTTGGACAACCTTAAATAATTGTCAAAGTTAGATACCCTACAATACATTATCTTTCATTTTTTTAATTATTGGACTCTCCACCCTGAATTCACGTGATATTTATTGTATATAAACAAATATTTCACTCACTAATAGTGGATGGTTTATTAAGAAAATAAATGCATTAAATGAAGAAGAATACATTGTCGATTTCAAAATTATAATTGTTTAAAATCAAGTTAATTATAATTTTTTGGGGTGACTTACAATTGGAAAGATTATAATTGATCACAAAATATTATGCTCGATTATCAACATTATAATTTTTAAAGGTAAAATTACAATTGAATAGGGTTAAAGCATAACTTGACTTTTAAAAAAAAATATAATCTGACTTCTAATAAATAATACTGATATTAAATTTTTTTTGGGACAAAATTTGACTAAAAAATTACAAGTATTTACCAATAAAGTTAAGTTTAATCATGACAAAAAGCATACAAAGATTTAAATTTAAATTATTATATGTAATAGTAAAACCAGCTTTTGACTAGCTTCAATAAAAGTAGAACGAAAAGACATAAAGTATTATTTTCTTAAAACATGTCTTCTCCAACATATATTAAAGTGGAACACACATTGTTTCAATCTAAAAATAGTATATAATTGAAATTTAAGTTAAATTTCTCATTTATTTTCTTTTAATGTACACAATCATCTAGTTTATAGAAAAATAATCTTTCATTTTGTTGTAAAATTTATCTAAAATAATCTTCTATCATATTGAGAAATTGATTACTTGAAGTAACATGAAATATCTTTTTGTGTTATGTTACTTTATTGGGTAAAAAACAAACAATTCCATTAAACTAAGCTCAATCTCACTTTACCCCCTATAATTTTATGGGCTGCACTTAATCCTCTCCAACTTATTAACAAATTACAAATTTAACAGAATCTATTTATTATAACGGCACAGTAATTGCACACGCTAATTAAGCACGTATTATAAAATAAATAATTTCTTTTCTAAACTAAAAAATAAATTTTCAATTTTATCCTTCATCCTCCTCTCTCTCACCTCTCTTTCTTTTTATTTTTTTCTAAAGACTTGCAAATTTATTTTTGACTTATCAAACGACTTATTTTCTGAAATCTATGGTCATTTTTGAACTCATTGACCCCAAATTGCTGAACCCAACTCCCCTTTTGAAGTTTTAATAAGTTTTCTAAAGTTTTAATTGTTAAATTTCCAAACACTAGGTTTCTTTACCACACATGCACACATATCTAGGTCATGGCTTCCAAGCACTCCAATACACTCTACTACAACCCCATAACACAACACAAGCTTCAATTAAGGAAGAAATGATCGTTTGCTGTATAATCCATTTAAGCTTCAAACACAAATTTGAGTGCACACACACAACATAAAACTTAAATCTAATCACATCAATGAAATCCTTGTGAAAAAATAAGTCTGACTAAGTTGAGTTTATGTATTATAAGCCTCTGAATCGAAAATCAAAAATTCTTTTTCTTTTTCTCTCTTCAACCTCTCTCTCTCTCTCTCTCTCTCTCTCTCTCTCTCTCGCCTCTCCATAGCTTGTAGAGGAATTTTGTGGGGTGTAGTGTTGGGGTGCGACTATGGTGGTACAAGAGTGTTAGGTACAAGTTTTGGTTTTTAAAGATAAGGGTTCTACAATAATTGCATCATAAAGAAAATTAGATTATTGTCCTACTGTGTAAATTGTTACCTTGTTATCATTTGTAGATTGTTCACAAGTTGGAAGGGGTTAAGTGAAACCCATAAAAATATAGGTGATGAAATGATATCGAAGCTTAGTTCAGGGGAGTTTATAGTTTTTTACCCTTTTTTGTATTCTACATTTCATTGTGTTTTATTGGACTGTAAACTACTATAAGGGTGGTTCAAAAGTCAACATACCATGGCTCCACCCTTGGGTAAGCATTACCCAATTTGATTTTTTAAGTTGTGTCTATGCACATAGCGTGTTATTAAATATCTAAGGTTTTTTTTTTTTATATATATTTGGTGAAAAAGACGGTCCGGTTTAGACTAGGCCCCAAAATATAGATGCAGACTAACGAAGGCTTAGTCAAAATTTTAATTCGGCCAAATCCACCTTCCTAAGAAAACAAGCCCATCATCTATAAATGTGATGATCTCTATTTTAGGAGAGGGAATCTGTGAGGGCGCAGTCAAATTTAAAATAGTTCACTGTCTGATTTGTGGAATGCTTAAGGCGAAGGACTGCAAAGGATGCCGACTACAAGGAGTATACCAATACCAATAAGGTCATTTTTAAAGCACGAATAGAGTAACATACATTAAGCTGAAAAAACAATTTTTGTTAATAGAACGAGTACTGCAAAAATGGGACCAAAAATTCAACTCAAATGACATGGAAACTGAAATGATAAGTGAATTAGAACAAAAAGCATCATTATTACAACTTTATATCATTTGATTTTTATTTTTAATTCTGATTTTTGGTCGACGTAACATTATTTTAATAGAAGAGTATTCATCTATTTACTGGTTGATTGTTATATAAGAGTATGAATATGGGGAAACTCACTGTTACAAAAAAAAAATCGATACTGGTACTATTGGTTCCTATATGATAAATTTACAATTGCTCAAGGGAGATCATGATCAATTACAAACATTCATGATCGATCATAAAAAACGCGGTATCAATCCTGATGGTGCTCAAAAATGCTATGCCCAAGTGCAGAACAAGGACTGTGCATGAGGCCCGATGGGACTCTGTGAATGTTGGGCCAATAGAAAAGTAAGTGTTGACGTTGGATTAAAAAATAAAATATAAGTGAATCAGTTTAGCTAAAAGACTAAGACTACGTCCACTGCAATGGAGGCTCTTGGTTTTTGAGATTTGTATTAGTTGAAGTAGAAGACAATGGTTAGAGTAGGTTTTTTTTTTTTGAGAGCCTCTTCCTTACAAAGTCTATTACAAAAAAGATTCTAAGACCCCTTATACGGTGCTTTCGTATTCTATATATACATGTGACCATCTAAGGTTTTTACGATTCTTTCATTCTCTTTGCTGATTTTGTGGTCCTCTCTTCCTTTGTTCTGTAGCGGTGTCTGTCACCCTGATATATGTTGTGCCCACGATCATCAAAACGGTGTGGGTGATGATATTCCCTTTACCAACGAATATTTATTCGTTAGGGTCATAAGAAGTTGTCCCCCTATTCCTTGGACATGTGGCGCGGTGGGAGCGGTGTAGGATCTATCGCATACTAAGCTCTTAGTTCCCGAGTTAGTCTACTTCGCCGAGCTTGAGATGACCGAGCAAGAATATACCGATGCAAACACTATTGGAATTCCTCCCTTGGGTTGTGGCCCATTCCTATGATGAAGTGAGCATGCTGCGAATGGGTCATTTAAGTTGTCATGTAACCAGAGGGCCCATAAAATATTTTGGGCTTCGAATGGGTAGCTTAAGCCGAAATTCATAATTATCAAATCCCAATGTTCCATGATCGATCATGCCTTTTGAAGTCGTAACTTATATATCAAAAAAATTGTAACTTATCTTTAAAAAATTGTAATTTTCAGTATTGGTACCGTAGAAGTTCTCATGAATATGAGGTTTAAATCTCTTTCAATACATTTTTTTATAAAAAATTTTTTTATTGGATCATCCATCGTTAATAAGTGACTGAACAATTTGTATACAATGATGGGTGCCTACATGGTAGATGATTCTTCATGAGAAAATGCATTAGAGGGGATATGTACATCTTAATTTCCTCCAAATAGATAGATCAGGTCACATACCTTGAAGAACATAACCGATCTTGGCCAAATTTGCATAGTGGGGCAGAGCAAAGCCACGAGGGTGCAGAAGAAGCTTGCCAGCACCAAGCTTAGCCTCATCCAGCAATGGAGATTTGGAAGTTGTCCAACCATAATACCCGCCACCATATCCCTCAAAAACTGTGTCTTGTCTGCCTCTTGTGGTACCAAACTCAACTCCATTGGCTTTGTGTGTGTGTGAGAGAGAGAGAGAGGGAGAGAGAGAGAGAGAGAATAGATGAACTTAATATGAAAATCTATTGCTGTGAGGGAGAGAAAGTGCAGCTTATGAAGAAAGAGATGATCAGTAGTTGATTAGTGCAGTAGTACCCATGGCTCATCTCTTCTCTTGAAGAGATTGGAAGCAACTTTTTCATCCATACCAAGCAACACCCTCGTAATTTTTAATACTACATTATTTTCCCTTTAGATTTGGGTTATTGTTTTAAAAAACTCAAAAGAAACTCAAAAATTATAACCCAAATGCATATCATCCATTGGATGAGTGGGTCATACTGAAAAAGTTAATGAGACCCACTCATCTAAGAGATGAAATGAATTTAAGTTATAATTTTTTGAGTTTTATTTGAGTTGTGTAATATTACTCTTTTATTTTATCTTAAAACCCTACTCAATCTAACTATAAGCAAAATAAAATAAAAATTCTCCAATTTTATAAAATACTCAAACAATTCTACATCAAGAAATAAAAAACAAAACACCAGACATTTTTTAGAATAATATCAACTTTGTGGGTTTATCATGTCAAAGTTGGGTTATTTATCTTTGACAATACCAATCTATAACTTGTTTAGAATTAGTTATATTGGATCGTGTTAATTTTGAATTTGTGTCAAAAGTTTGTTAGCACTAATCCACTAATTTAATTTTGCATGTGTGGTGTTACATTTGGATGGTTAGGGTGGCAATTTTTGATAATAAAATGAGACATTCTACTGATTCAACACTAGTGTGTGTGTGGTAGAGAGAGAGAGAGAATTGAAAACTAGACGAAGAGCTGATCTGAGGTCGACAAAGGTGGTCAGAAGGGAAGTAAAATGAAATCTGGTTCGAGTTTTGAGAGCATGGGGACAGTTTTAATTTTTGGTTTGGTATTGAAGAGGTGGGGAACTATTTTGATCAGGCGAAAAAGGGGATCTAGGAGGTGTTTATAAAGAGTAAATATTCAACGTAGCATTTATATAACATCATCACTGATAAAAAATAAATCATTACTAACACATAATATCACTCACCACTAACAACAAATCATGTAAATTTAATGAACCCCACTCAAGTTAGGTGGTTAGTTTTGCACAACAGATAATTAACACTAATAACATAAATTGAAAGATAAGATAATAATAAAAAAAATCATTACTAACACATAATATCACTCACCATTCACAACAAATCATGTAAACTTAATGAACCCCACTCAGGTTAGGTTGTTAGTTTTGCACATCAGATAATTAACACTAATAACATAAGTTGAAAGATAAGAATATAATATAAACATGACACAAAGATATATAACATGGTTCGATATAACATACCTTCCTTGGTGCATCGTACCTACATTCACTGACCAAAAACTTACATCGATGTTGACAATGCACAAATTGAGTTTGTACACCACCTGTCAAATGAATAGTAATAAATGCAGTAACCTACGTCCACTTTGAATGGCTAGGGTCGCCGGGTATTTTATTACTTCAAGAGTGTAGGGAGAGCACAAAGTTACAAGTTTTGAGAGACAAATGAGAGTTTAAGAAATAAGAGTTGTGCTTGACTGAGTGTGATGCCCCCCCCCCAAGTGTTGGTGGGGCGTACAATTTATAATTGCTTCCTAACAGATTGGGGCGACTTAATAGTAACTAAATAGCTAATCTAGTGGAGCTGACAATCTCTTCTCAATGGGCGAGACAATTATAGTTCTCTTAATGAGATTCTGTCAAAGGATAAGGTGAGGGTTGACTCTTTCTAAGGCGGCGAAAATGAGACTCTTGGATGACTCCACATGCTCCCTTGGTGATGTAGCTCTTAGAACCTGATGAGCTTGACTGGGCCTGGAGCACCTTGGGCTAGACTTGCTAGATCTCTTGGAGTTGAGCTATTAATTCAGACTTGGCTTATAACATGAGTTGAGCCATTTGGCTTGGCCCATCATTTGCCTTCCAATGCCCTTTATCCAATGGAACTTCGAGAGGAGGGCATTCGATTGAATTTGAATTTTTGGCTAAACAGCACAATTGAAAAAACTTCAGGAAGCCAAAACATCTGTTTTTGAGCTTTTTTTGGACTTTTAACAGCTTCTTTCACTGCCAAAGACAACGACTTTTGTAGAGCTTGTCAAGAACTTTGATTTGATATCTAATATGCCTTGTTGGAGTTACAAAGTGAAAGTTATTGTTAAAATAGCGATCATGCCCTCTTGAATTTGAATTTCTTGAAGACTCCTTTTGATTGGCGACTCTTTCCCTCCCTATGGACTCCTTTTGCATGTGGGAAACCATTAGCTATATAAACTCCTGGATTATAAATTGGGGTTTTTTACTTTTTCCTTCCTTTAATAGGATTTTAAAACCCTAGGCTGTAAATAGAAAACTCTTTCTTCATTCTACCCATTTCATTCAATCTTGAGAGAGGAAGGTAGAGATTTTCTTGAAATCCTTAAGAACTCAAAGCTAGTTCACTCTTGAGATGAGTTCTCAGAAATCCATGTCCAACAAAGGAGAAAATGTACATAGGACTGTCGATCTTGGAGAAGATCTTGTTGATCTTGGTGGAGAGCTCGGAGAGGAGGAGTCATGGTCGAAACAGCCCGTAGGCGAAGAAGATGAGAGAGAGAAGGCGCAATTGGGATCTATTACTAGGCGCGCATCTGAGGCGCGTGAGGAGGAGGCACGGGTGCCTGCTGCCGCTGTCGCTACCATTCCCATGGGAGGCATTGAAAGGGGTGGGCACCTTTGGCGAGCTCTAGGCGTCGCCGATGGAGGTGGTTTGGGCAAGCCCTTTGCCTATGGTGGAGGTGATTTGGGTGAGCTACCCTTTGCTCATGGTGGAGGTTATTTGGGCGAGCTACCCCCATGTTCATGGTGGAGGTGATTTGGGCAAGCTACCCCTTGCTTGTGGTGGAGGTGATTTGGGTGAGCTGCCCTTGTGTGCAGAGGATGGGCAAGCAGGCCTGGGCGCCCATGCTATGACTATCTTTGTTGGGTGAGCAGGCTAGGCGGGGTCTGACAGACGAGTGACCCAAGCCACTGCTCAGTCTCTGTTCAGCATGGCGGGGGTGCCATTTGAGAGGCAAGCTGCCTAGGCTGATTCCAGCATCGAGGCGTGACAATGAAGCGGCAAGGAGGGGCACGCCGGTGTTTGGAGACCAGGCTGTCTAGTCGAGTAAGTTGTGGAATGGATGAAATGAGGGAGGAGTAGGAGCGGGAGGAAGTGCTTACTACATATGGCGATGAGGTTGGGCACCTAGATAAACACACTGGTTTGGCGAATGGAGGAGGGTGCTCTGATCTGGCTGCTGGGCACGCTAAGGGAGTTGTGAGAAATTCAAGTAAGTAGTCTGCTCGTATGAGGGAGGTTGATTTCAGCGAACAAGCTGCTTGAACAAGGGCCTTCACACGTGTTGACCAGAGGTTGGACACCACTTGCTTTGGGTGCGTAGGGGCTGATCTGGGCGCCGATCTGGGTGCTGACGGGCGAGCAACCCATGCGGCAGCTGATTTGGCTCCTTCAAGTGGAACTCCTCAAAGTCAGATTCCTCAAGGCCTCCCTTGTAATGGCTCAGGCAACTCTTCTACCCTTGTAACAAAAAACACCAAGGGAAAGTGGCTCTTAACGATGATGGATCTAAAGTGAGTACTATTTCTAGTACTTTAAATACAAATGCTAACATTTTGCGAATTGTCTCTACTTACCACATTCCTCCTACAGTACTATATTGTCGAGTCAAGATGGGTGAGCTTGCTTGTGATGACTCCTCTAGAGACATTTTTATATATGATGAGATGTTTATGGCTAGGCTTAGGTTCCCGATGCCTTCTTTCATTTGTCGTATTCTGCATTATTTTTTGTTGGTACCAAGGCGGTTGGCCCCCAATGGTTGGGGAGTTTTGCTGGGCTTCCTGGCATTGTGGAGGAAGGTGCACCATGAGGATGCTTCTCTTGACGAGCTTTATGCAACTTATCATCTGAGTGAGACTCCTGCTCCTAATCGAGGTTGGTACTATTTTACTACGAGAGGAGGCAAGCTGATTACCAGATTACCCTCTAACTGTCATAGTTGGAAGTCTCGTGTCATGTTCGTTGGCAGAGAGTGGGCTTCAGATGCTGATAGGGGTTTGGTAGCAACTGGATGGGGAACTCCTAAGAAAATTGATACGCCTTATATGCTTACCCATCTCTTATCACATTCCTCATAGGCTGTGTGCTCACCACATTCCTTACAGGTTCTCTTATGCTCTCGAAGGACTAGGAGTGGAAGTTGCAAGCCGTGAGGGCTTATCCTGTAAAAGACTTTGGAGCTCTAGTCAAAGATGGAAGAGTCGGTGGTTCCTCTTTGAAGAGAAATGATATGTTGATTCACTTGTACTTTTCCCCTTTACTTGGTGTTTTTCATCTAGATAACACATTTTTTTTTGCCGTGGATAGAATGGTGGTTGGTTCCCGCCTCTAGTAAGAGCACTCCTTCTCCTAAGGTGGCGAGGATGAGTAATGCTCCCCAAGTGTCCTCTCCAATGGTGTTGCTCGAGGTGAGCTCTCCTCAAGCGACCCCTCCAGTGGTGCCTTGGGCGTGCTGCCATCAAGTGACCCTTCTAATGATGCCTCCTCAGTCGGCGACTCCTTCAATTACAACTGCTACTCCAGAGTCCCCCTTGTTGGCCACACCTTCTACCCTCCATTTGTCCACTTCTCATGTGGGAACTTCTACAGGGGCACTGATTCAAATTGGCCCCATGTTGGGCAACCTGTGAGTCATCAAGGAACGACTTGGGAGATTTTTGTTTCCACCCGAAGTTAGTGAGATTAGTGCTCTGGGCACCGAGGGAATTATCAACACATTTCTGAAAGGCCTAGCTCAGGTAAGGGTCTGCTATTTTCCTTTCTTCATTCCTACCCCTACGTGTTTTGTTATTCCTTTGTCTTTTATTTTTTTCAGGCTTCAACTGCATCTATATGATTGCTTTCGAGGGCCCATTTTTTATGGCCAGCTGAAGCTTAATCATGAGGCTATACATATGGAGCTTCTTGATGCTCAAGGGATAATTGCCGAGCTTTACGCTACTGGTAGAGCTTCTTAGGCTGAGCTTGTGGCGATCTATGAAATGGTCGTGCTCAGGAAGGCTGCCTGCTTGAGAGCAGAGGTAGAGCTTTCAGCGGCCTAAGAGAGGGTGGCTAAGCTTGAGGTTAAGCTTTCGGCAACCCGTGAGAGAGCGACTAAGCTCGAGGTTAAGCTTTCGACGACCTGTGAAAGGGGTGCACTCAAAGAGGCTGAGCTTGTGGAGACTCGCGAGAGGGCCAGGCTCAGAGAGGCTAAGCTTGTGGAGACCCACGAGAGGGCCATGCTCAAAGAGGCTGCCTGTTTGAGAGAAAAGGCAGAGGTGAAGGCAGCTCACGAAAGAGCTTCTCAGGTTGAGGACGGGGCTGTCACGACTGAGAGTGACTTAGAGAATGACCTTGCAGATGCCTTTATTGATGGTTATGAGGAGCTCTAAGGCAAGATTTCTACTGCTTTCCTTGATATTGATGTTTTAGGCTCCATCCGAGGCGCTTGATGATGGTTATGGAGGATCTGACGATACTAAGGGTGATGAGGATGAGGACAACCATGAGAGTAGTCAAAGTGTAGGGGACTTTTGAATTCTTTTTTTTAGAAAGACATTTTGTTGCCTTAATTTTGTAAAAGTGGCTTTTTGTCATTGATGTTCCTTTGAAATTGAAAAAATGCAAAGATCTTTTGTAGTAAATTTAGAAAATTTTATTCATTCACTGCTTATGTCAAGCAATATCGGGTAATATTTCCAGAAAAATACAAAAAATAAATCAAGTTTCCCAACTTTCTACTCTTTTAAGGTGTCATTGGTAGTACCTCTTTAAGTGTTCAGCGTTCCATGGGTGGGGTAAGACCTTCCCCTCAGAATTCTTGATCTTGTAGGTGTCTGGCCTCACCACATCTATTATGAGGTAGGATCCTTTTTAGTTTGGTCCCAGCTTTCCTTCTTGTGAATCGTTTGTGGCGAGGATTACTTTTTTGAAGACCAAGTCTCCTGGTTGGAAGGAACGAGGCTTCACCCTCGAGTTGTAGTACTTTGTCATGCGGCGCTTGTACTCTACGTTACGGACCACAGTCATTTTCCTTGCATCCACTATCAAGTCGAGGTTGATGCAAAGTCCTTCCTTGTTGGAGATGGGGTCGTGGTGTTGGACCCTTAGAGAATGTTCCCCGATCTCCACAGGAATAACTGCCTCAATTCCGAAAGCGAGAAAAAATGGGGTTTCACTAGTTGGGGTTCTTGACGTGGTCTGGCAAGCCCATAATACGCCTGGGAGTTCGTCAACCCAAAGACCCATCGCTCTTTCAAGCCTTGTCTTTAGGTTACGTAATACCGTTCTCACCATGACTTCTACCCACTTTGTGAAATAATCAATAGCGACCACTACAACACATGCATTGTCCTCTACTCAGAGGTAGGGGGCCTAGGATGTCGATGCCCCATTTGGAAAAGGTCCACGGACTCGTGATGGTTGTCAGCTCCTCTAGAGACTGCCTGGGCAGAGTAGCGAAGCACTGACACTTGTCGTATTTCTTGGCGAACTCATGGGCATCGCTCACCCTGCTAGGCTAGAAGTAGCCCTGTCTGAGTGCCTTATGGGTGAGGGAGCATCCTCTATAATGATTCTCATAAACCCCTCCATGGATCTCCCGTAGGGCATAATTAGCCTATTAGGGTGTAAGGCACTGTAGTAATGGTAAGGAGTAGCCTTTTTTTGTACAGGTGTCTTGTATGATGGTAAGCTTGGAGGCTCTCATCTTGAGCTTCTTGGCTTCAAGGGGGTCATTTGGCAATATACCCTCCTGGAGGTATGCCATTATCGGGGTCATCCATTTTTACTCGACAGACATGCAATTGACATTTGTGGCTTTAATGTCCAACTTGCTTGGTTCAAGCTGGTGACTAGTAAATGTTGGTTTTAGTAGGGCTTCTGAGGATGACGCCAGTCTGGTGAGTGAAACTGCGGCCATGTTGTTTTCCCTCAGGATGTGGCAGATTTTAAAGTATTGGAACTTGGCAATCAAGGTTTTCACCATGGCAAGGTACTTTTGCATTCTCGTTTCTTTTCCTTCAAACTCGCCTTCACTTAGTTGACTATCAGGTGAGAGTCACTATAAGCGATGAGGTGTTGGGCTTCCATTTCAATTGCCAATCTTAGACCAGAGAGGAGGGCTTCATATTTTGTCTCATTGTTGGAGGCGATGAAGTGGAGTTTCACAGCATACTTGATGGGAGTGCCTAGGCGTCTGAGTGTCCTCGTTGGGCATCTGGGTGTCCTCGCTGGGCATCTGATTGCTTTGCGTGTTTGGGCTCCACGTCTAAAGGGTGGAAGGCTCATTGGTCTTCTCCTCTACTGGTGTAAGCTCAGTGATAAAATATGTCAAGGCATGTACTTTGATGGCCGCCCTTGGCTGGTACTGGATATCGAACTCACCTAGTTCTGCTGCCCACTTAAGGAGTCTCCCGGATACATCCAAATTTTCCAACACTCTTTTTAGAGGTTGTTCTGTAACGACAACAATGTTGTGACTTTGGCAATAATGTCGTAGACTCATTTCTATTGAGATCAGGGCGAGTGCTAGCTTTTCTAACCCTGAATCTCTAATTTCTACTCCCCGGTATGTTTTGCTCACATAATAGATAGTCTTTTGGACTCCATCGTCATCCCTAACAAGTACGGAGCTCACTGCCAATGGGGAAGCAAAAAGGTAAAGATATAAAATTTCACCTGGTGTAGCATGTGAAAGGAGGGGAGATGTAGCCAAGTAGGCTTTGAGTCTTTTGAGGCTTCCTTTTCCTCAGGTCGTCACTCGAAGGGTTATTGGAGAATCTTGAAGAAAGGCAAGCATTTGTCTAGAAACTTGGAAACGAATCTGTTAAGTGCTGCAATTCTCCCATTGAGCGTTGGAGCTCCTTGGCCGAGGAGGGTGACTTCATATCGAGGATGACCTTAATTTTGTTTGCGTTCGCTTCAATTCCCCTCCGGTTGACCATAAAGCCTAAGAACTTTCCTAACCGTACGCCGAAGGTGCACTTTTCAGGATTCAGTTTCATGTGGTATGACCTGAGGACGTTGAAAGTTTCTTGGAGGTGGTCAATGCGATCTGCTACGGTGAGACTTTTCACCAACATGTCATCCACGTAAACCACTATTGTTCGCCCTATCTGAGACTGGAACATTTTGTTCACCAGCCGTTCATAGGTTACTCCTGCGTTCTTTAGCCAGAAGGGCATAACCCTATAGTAGTAAGTCCCTTTTAGAGTGATAAACGATGTTTTTTCTTGGTT